CCCCGAGCCGCGGTCAAATTGTCAAGCGTTGACCGGTCCGCAGTGATAAAAAGGTTGGGGACCACTGATCTAGAGGATAAAATTCATAATAAAGTTAGAAACAGGACATTTTTCAAGATATTTTACAGCAGTAAATGGGAAAAAAAGTCAAATAACCTATAAGTACAATTCCAATAATGACTCCAACATTAGGTTAAATTAGAGCGAGAACAACAAACAGAGTACAGTAGTTCAGTTATTCCAATGTGTATTTACTGTCCATACTGCACTTTAACAGTAAGTCTTGTGTGTTTGAATACATGTGTGTGTGTGCACATTTACATTTTCTTGTCTGAGATGTGCATGAGATTCTGTGTTATTCGGGTTTGTTAGTTTTGTCTTACCTGCGCAGCCAATTTTTTCATATAGGGGTCAATCTCATCCAAGATGTTAAAGCCTTGCTGGAACAGAGTGTACTGGGCTCGCATAAAGGACAGCATCTGCACCATAAACAGGAAGACAACAATGATGACCCCGTTACTAATTCTACACAGAACACACCACAGGGATATATATATATATAGAAGTGGAATGAAATTTATTGGATATTTCAAACTTTTTTAACAAATAAAAAACTGAATAATTGGGCGTGCAAAATTATTCAGCCCCTTTACTTTCAGTGCAGCAAACTCTCTCCAGAAGTTCAGTGAGGATCTCTGAATGATCCAATGTTGACCTAAATGACTAATGATGATAAATAGAATCCACCTGTGTGTAATCAAGTCTCCGTATAAATGCACCTGCACTGTGATAGTCTCAGAGGTCCGTTTAAAGTGCAGAGAGCATCATGAAGAACAAGGAACACACCAGGCAGGTCTGAGATACTGTTGTGGAGAAGTTTAAAGCCGGATTTGGATATAAAAAGATTTCCCAAGCTTTAAACATCCCAAGGAGCACTGTGCAAGCGATAATATTGAAATGGAAGGAGTATCAGACCACTGCAAATCTACCAAGACCTGGCCGTCCCTCTAAACTTTCAGCTCATACAAGGAGAAGACTGATCAGAGATGCAGCCAAGAGGCCCATGATCACTCTGGATGCACTGCAGAGATCTACAGCTGAGGTGGGAGACTCTGTCCATAGGACAACAATCAGTCGTATACTGCACAAATCTGGCCTTTATGGAAGAGTGGCAAGAAGAAAGCCATTTCTTAAAGATATCCATAAAAAGTGTCGTTTAAAGTTTGCCACAAGCCACCTGGGAGACACACCAAACATGTGGAAGAAGGTGCTCTGGTCAGATGAAACCAAAATCGAACTTTTTGGCAACAATGCAAAACGTTATGTTTGGCGTAAAAGCAACACAGCTCATCACCCTGAACACACCATCCCCTCTGTCAAACATGGTGGTGGCAGCATCCTGGTTTGGGCCTGCTTTTCTTCAGCAGGGACAGGGAAGATGGTTAAAATTGATGGGAAGATGGCTGGAGCCAAATACAGGACCATTCTGGAAGGAAACCTGATGGTGTCTGCAAAAGACCTGAGACTGGGACGGAGATTTGTCTTCCCACAAGACAATGATCCAAAACATAAAGCAAAATCTACATTGGAATGGTTCACAAATAAACATATCCAGGTGTTAGAATGGCCAAGTCAAAGTCCAGACCTGAATCCAATCGAGAATCTGTGGGAAGAACTGAAAACTGCTGTTCACAAACGCTCTCTATCCAACCTCACTGAGCTCGAGCTGTTTTGCAAGGCGGAATGGGCAAAAATTTCAGTCTCTTGATGTGCAAAACTGATAGAGACATACCCCAAGTGACTTACAGCTGTAATCGCAGCAAAAGGTGGCGCTACAAAGTATTAACTTAAGGGGGCTGAATAATTTTGCACGGCCAATTTTTCAGTTTTTTATTTGTTAAAAACGTTTGAAATATCCAATAAATTTCGTTCTACTTCATGATTGTGTCCCACTTGTTGTTGATTCTTCACAAAAAATTACAGTTTTATATCTTTATGTTTGAAGCCTGAAATGTGGCAAAAGGTCGCAAAGTTCAAGGGGGCCGAATACTTTCGCAAGGCACTGTATATATACAGTATTCAAAGGAAGGAGACACCATGCCCCCTCTGGGGCAAAGGGTCAGTGGGAAGGATTTGGAAATTTACTGAACTCAAACACCTGAATAACTGCAACATATATAATGATTGAAATTAAAAAGATAAATCAGGGCCACTTACTGCATCCAGGATTTCAAACTTCTTCTTAGCCTGAAGCACATTAATCTGCCAAGAGCAAAATGTAGATTTTAGGCTGCATGTCAGAGAAGTGATCTTATTTAATATAGTCATTTAAAAGAAATCTACAGTCTCAAGTGCTGCCTCCTCTGCAAGGAGAACCAAGAGTTGTCACGTACTGTATTTAGCTGCAGCAGCTGTTGAATGCCAGCAGTGCCACCTAGTGGACAACAATGGTAATATATTCTGAAGTTTGTGCCTGTGTGTGTGATTCACCTGTAGCACATAGTCCAGTGCCAGGTGCCTGAAGGCTTTGCGGCTGAGGATGAGAGCCTGAGTGGCTTCCTCCGCCTCGTGGACCTTGTTCCTGGGTGCTTGAGCGTTTTTCACCTGGGCCAGCTCCATGTCCTCGCGCACCCGGTCAAACTGCTTCTTAGTGTCCTTGAATTTACGCACATCCCTGGTGGAAATGAAGAGGGACAGAGTCAGTGCAAGATCTACAACATTTTCTGTATAGTGTGGTTGAAAAATGCATTTCTAAAAGACTGACAAGGTCTTCTAAAAGCTAAATTACAAATATAACTTCTATAAATGTGGAGAAATCTACAGACCTGAGCTGTTCACATATAGTACAACACATGAGGTAACCATTTCCATTTTAGACCTTTATCTTATGGACTTGATGTAGTGATTAATACCATACTCGAGTACATATTGATGGGCCACCTGTCCATTGTATTAAAACAGTCACTAAGCACAATTCCCCATAAGAAGTCCGTTTTTATTATTGCACCAGTCTCTATCCAGATGTTCATACTGTGTCTTTCTTTATAGACGCAGGATGAAGCTACTTACTTAACTGTATTAACTGCGATGAGGTACTCACTCTTTAATGAAGGTGTGAAGCTGCTGCTTGATTGACCGCTGAGCCTGGTCAAACAAAATCTGTGGGCAGAGGAGATGAGACAGTTAGAAATGTTGCTACATCTCACCACAAGATGGCAGTATGAAATCTTCCACATTATTAGTGCGACAGATTATCACACAGGCAGAGAAGAGGGATGTGGGCAAATATGTGTACACACTCAGCTGCTGCCTCAACAAGATTTCAGACCCTTAAAGGATTCCAGATTTCTCTTCCCATTAAAGGTGGAATTCCCACTCCTCCTCTTCTTCCTCTTCTCTTTCACTATGCATTTTCCCTTCATTTCTCATGCGTAGTGAGCAAATGTTTTCTCCATTTGGACAAGGACTTTTATTTTTCTGTTTCTATATCTCAGTTGAAGAATGATGAACACAGAGTGACTGATGGTAAACAAACCATTTGTCTTTGATAATAAAACATTTAGCTGATGTAATCGTGTGTAAGGACAATGAGAATACATCGGTGAATGCCTCAGCGCAGACAAATCAGAATTGTACTTGAGGCTAGATCGTGATATAACCACATATACACACAATGTATATAACAATCACAGTTGGCAGCCTGTGGATTTTATTTTCTATAGCAGTCCCTAGCTATTAAACATACGGACTGAGGATTGCAGGCTTAGTTTGTGTGGGCTGATATCACTCATGTTGTGTGTTTACACAGTCACACTGTGGGAATGCAACTTCCTTTTGGGGACAAAAAACAAGTCCCTCAAATTTCAGAGTGGTGACTTTAAGGTTAGCACAATGAAGCAAAAAGAAAAAAAGAATAATATAGTTGAAATGTAATCATTTACAACTTATTCAACCCAGTTCCTGTATCAACAGAGGTCCACTTTTTCTATCTTCTATAACAATAACAGTGGATGTCCGTTAGATGATGACATGTTAACAGCTTTGTAAATTCCCATAATTGCTTAAATGGTACACATAAATTATTTTATTCCGCTAGACAAACAAAAATGTCTTTAAGTGCAATTCAATGTAATATGAAGAATCAAGTTGCCAATAATTAATGAAAGATGAATAAATATTTACTTGGATTTAAATGAAACAAAACAATCTGAGAGCATTGTGTCTGTTTTCCTGATACTTAATACCAAACTAGAAATGAATTATTCAAAAATGATGATGAAACCATAAAGACCTATATTGTATTATTATGTATTTTGGAAACACACATCACACCACCCAAAGGGGTTTGCTTCTGTGATCACAGTACTGAAAGATAGCAAACAAACTACAAACTTGGTTATCCAGTATCTAACTATACCAAATGTGTCCTGGGACTTTAGCTCATTTGTGGTTTGCGAAATGGGGGTTTGGTACTTTCCAGGGTGGTGTAACCTACCTGCCAGTTCCACAGAAAATTAAAAATTAAAAGTTCCATCAGAAAGACATTGGGCCCATGTACACTAATCCAAATGCTCTACCCAAACCTGCTCTGGATTATGGTGACCCAGGCATGACCCAACCTCCAGTACGCTCAGTTTCCCAGCTTCTAAGATCCTCCTTGTCTGTTACTGGTGATATTAAACTCTACGCACATACACCCTGTTGATATTAGAGTTACGCTATGGTTAAATGGAGAAAATACAATCTCTCAACATCTGTTCAAAACCACATTGATATGATTGTGAATTGGTTAATATTTATGGTAGGACTACATTTGAAAGTAAAAATATTTGCCTATTGTGTGATTTAGTGGGAGACTCGTTTTCCCAGTTTAATGCCTTCTTTTGTGTGAGACGAGTGCTGAAGAGGTGAAGAAACAGGCATCAGTGGGTGGTCGAACAAAGACAGATTTCCTTTCACTATGTCTTTCCCTCCCCTCCCTCCATCCCTCCATTCATACCGTCTGCCAGACAAGCTATTAGTGTAATTCCTGGGTGTTAGAGTGGAGCAGTGGGTAAGTGAGGGGGGAGCAGGAGAATCGGATGGATGGAAAGATGGAAGGGCAGAGGAGAAGAGACAGCTGGTGACAAAAACAAAAATGGAAACCAGCCTGTAAAACATCACCAAAAGCTGTACTGTCTAGAATTTTTTTAAAATTGTGGGTTATGTGATAAGACCAAAAGCAAACAAAAACGATTTTTTGTAAAAATGTCAGTAAACAACAATGAGCCATTAGAGAAAAAGAAGGGAGACGAATCTATTGGATTGATGCAGCTAACGAATCCAAGTGTGCCACTCTTTGATTTGATTTATCAAGCTTGGGATTTGACAGTCTTGACCTTGGTGAAGTGGAACAGAGTCAGAAAACAGGGAGCATGAATGAAAAATATGGAGGGTAAATATGATAAATTAGAGAGGAAGAGTGAAGATCGACACTTTGCTTATAGCAGTCAGTGTGGAGCCTGTGACTTACAGCACAGGTCCATTCAACCAACACTGATTAATCTTCAGGCACATAAGTCAAGTTAATGTTAAACTTCAAAAGCCTCAGTTGTTATCAGACCAAATGCCACTGAAATGGGCAACACTGTGAAGAACAGTCAATGAATCTAAGGCTGTACTTTAATGCTGCAGTTGTGTCCTGGTACTAGCTGTTTGTCGCGTCCTTTTTCTTTTGACTGTATAGTTATTCTTTTCTCCTGCTCACTTCTGCTTTCCCTCCTTCATCTTTTCAAATCCTATTTTCACTTGTCTTTCCCACACACAGACAGTACAATCATCCACAGATATGGACATGGAAACACCTTGAGGCACTACACACTCCCACATGCTGCCTCGTCATGGTCGTAATCTCACAACTGTAAACATTAATAATATCTTTTTAAAGGTAGATTAGCTTTTGGATTTTCCACACATGTATTAGTGTCTCAGATGCCCAAAGGGAGAGATTTCTTAACCACACTTAGTCATGAGGAGAAATCACTGTGGAGACGTGAATAAAACCTGTTTGTGTGTGTTTTGTCAGCATGTCAATGTTGGTGCGTTTTAGCTGCCTTACACATCTGGTGAAGCATGTGGTTTGAATCAGACACACATGTGCACAGGCCAGCGTGGACAGATTCACTGTCACCGAGTGAGGTCATAGTTAAACTGTGTGTCTAGGTTTGTGTGTGTGTTGTTTAACACTGGGCCCAGGACGGGCTGAATATCTGAAAGGCGTTAATGTGCTGAGATGACCTGGGCACATCCGAGCACAGCTCTATCTCAACCTCTTTCTAAAACTAGTGTGTGTGAGAAACTCTTACCGTGTGGTAGTTGACGATCTCCTGGAGGCTTTCTCCTTGACAACACACACACATGCACACACCATGTAAGGATACAGGCCTCTATATGAACAGGTTTTCTAAACTCTGTACTGTTCACAAAATCTATATTTATGAGTACAAAACTAAGACTCTGATTCCAGTTATGTAGACAACCAGCATAAACATCTCCTGTTTGCAAGTGGTCAAACCCCTCATGCTTACAGCAGCTGGACGACTCGGTGTCTGGACAACACTGTTTATACTGCTCTACTGTTAGTACTCATATGGCGACTCACTGGAATGCCGTTGCACAGAGAGACGAGCGATCGTTTGTCAAACATTCCTTGGTGCATTTAAGATGCGAACTCAGTTTTCCAGACTACGTCACTTCCACTCACCGATATCATCTCCTCCTTCTTGCACTGCTGGGACAGGTCCTTGATGCCGTTAACAAACAGCTTGTTGGCACTGACATAGGCCCTGCCGGCCTCAATCATGCCACCACACAGCTTCACCAGCTAGTGGGGGAGAACATAAAAATCATCACTTTAAATATCCAACAAGAACATCATCTATTTAAAGTGTCACTTGTGCACAATGCAAAGCAGGGATATTAATAGTCACAGTGATGACGTAAATCAAACAAGGCTTAAAAGAACTGTTAGAAATTAGAGAAATGCACACAATGACAGCCAGGGTATATGGCCTTATAACTGCCATGATCGCCCCAAACTTCCCGTTTTGGACTTTTATTTTGAAGATGTATCCTGCCCCAGCTTTACTCTGGCATCATTTACCTCAATTAGATATGCCTGCTGCTCGCTGCTGCCTTTATATTCACCTCACCTCCCCTCAGTTCATCGCTGGTTTGTGTTGTTGTTGTGTGTTGTCCCTGTGTTCCTGCAGTTATAGCTCACATTTGTACTGCCACCTGCTTTCGCCTCAGAGACTCTCCCATGTCTGTTTCCCTGCATCTTGTTTTCTCCATTTGGACTCTGGTATTTATCGACGTTGTATTTTTCACATTTTAGTTTCCTCACATTTCTGGTTCACCAAGCTTGTTAGTTCACCACTCCCTCGGTGTCGGTATCTTTTGTGGCTGGTTATTCTTGACTGCTTAGGGTTTGTGCATTTTTGTGCATTATTAGTCGTGCATTTGCTTGTTGGTTTTCTTTGCTTTGTTCAGTTACCTTCCACCCTCTTGTAGGACTGTAACCTGTGGTAGAGGTAGGGTTTAGGAATTTAACTGGATGCATCATGTTCTGCCTCTATCTTGCAGTCACCAGACAGCCTACTATTGAAAGTGGGTACCTGAGATCTGTTAAAGGAATAGCTCAACATTGTGGAAAATCTGCTTATTTGTTTTCTGGAGAAGAAGAGTTAGAGAAGAAAATAAATATGATTCTCATGCCTCCCCATTAAAGATACTGGTTGTCCTAACTTTTAACATAAAGACTGGAAACTGGGAACCAGCTAGGTAAGCTATGTCTAATGCGAACAAAATTAGCTTACCGGTAGATCTAAGGCTCACTCATTAACACATTATATCCATCCATCCATTATCTATACCACTTATTTTGTAGAGGGTTGCGGGGGGGACCGATCCCAGCTGTCATTAGGCAAGAGGCAGGGCTGACATAGAGACAACCACTCAGCTCACATTCACACCTACCAGGTAATTTAGAGTTACCATTTAACCTAACTAGCATGTCTTTGGACTGTGGGAGGAGGCCAGAGTACCCGGAGGAGACCCACACAGGCATGGGGAGAACATGCCAACTCCACACAGAAAGGCCCTGGTCAGCCATGAAGTTCAAACCCAGAACCTTCTTGTCATGAGGGACCAGTGCCAACTACTGCACTACTGTGCCACTGACACATTAAATCATCTTTGTTTAATATGTACAAACTCAGGACTGGATGAACGACTGCACTAAAAGTAGATGGCACATACCCCCAGCTTTATGGAAGGCTATGTGCTGGACTATTTTGAACTTAAGTTTTCTTTGGATGGAGCCAGGCTAGCTGTATCTCACTACTTCCAGTCTTTATGTGAAGTTAGGTGGCAGTTCGCTAGAGCGTTCTCAGTTTAATTCTTCGCCATGACAGCAAATAAGCATATTTGCCGAGATGTCAAATTATTCCTCTGCAGAAAGCTAGGGAATGAAAAACAGAATCACTACATGATGTCATGAGTGTGTGTTTGAGTTATACATAAAATAATGCAACGTATATGTTAGTTACAAAATGTGGGACCACTGCAGAATAATGCATAAATTTCAACTGATAATTTAGGCAGTCAAAAAGAATTACCAGTGTGTAGAATGTAGCACATATGGAGAGAGTTTGTACACAGACAGAAGAGAGCAAAACCTAACTGTAAACGTGTATATTACCAGGTGCAGACAGTTCACAGCCATGGTACATACTCATTTAACCACCAGATGAACTGGCAACCACTACACATTCCCACTTTAAGGGTAATATGATAAGGTACAGAGTGGTACACTGTCATTATCAATGTACTGACACAGCTGTGTGTGCTGCAGAATGTGGGGGTGGGTGGGTGTGTGTGTGTGTGTGTGGGGGGGGGTTATATAAAAGAGAGAGTGCTGCAAAAACCTTTAATTATCTCATTTGGTGCTGTGAGTATGGTTTACTGGATGGCTAACAGTAAGGCTTTGATGCAGTACAGCCCAGAGATGAGAAACTAAAGAGTGAGGACCTATAACTACAAAATCTATGACAGCATGAGTACAACACAACAGTTGTAATGTATACTGTATGTGAGCATTGCTGAAATGAGCTGCTGTGTCTGTATGATTCCCAACATGACTGACAATGTTAGGACTCCTCACACAGCACAAGGCAGTATGAGGTCAGCTCTGCTGCTGCTCCCAGCCTGGTCTGACAACCTGTCAACAATTTAGCTAATTTAGGGAATCTGATTTCACTGTGTGCTCCACTGATTCCCCAGGGTCTGAACAGGGCCATCAGAGGTACTGGCCATGCATCAGGATTTGTTGATAAATGGGTTGGAAGAACCACAGAAGTCCACTCTGAGTCAAATGTCACATCTGGTACCACAGGACAAACCGTGCCATGTCAATTTACTGAGAAAATCACAGTGTAAAATAGAGGTCCTGCTGGTCAGTGAGGTGTAGAATGGCCATTTGGAACTTTTTGCAAACGATGAATGGTCCATAACACTGGCAGTCTTGCTAGTTGTTGATTTACAAAGAAGAACTAGATAACAAGCACAAAAAGGGAAAACTTGACTTTTGCAGAAGTACACTCAACAATAAAATCAGATAACAAGCCAAGCCACATTCTGCTATTGTTCATCAATATGCTGAAAATCTAGCTAGCAGGGACTGAGTCCATTATAATGGACAGCACACTGGTTAGAACAGTTACAATAACAGTAGGCAGGTTCAGCTGTCATCAGTCTTACAAATGTCCTCCTCTAGGAGGAGGCTGCCTGACCATCCCTCAGGCAGCTTCAGAGGATCCTGAGCAGAGCAGCCTGAGGAGGACCCCTGCTGAA